GTGTATTTAATAGCAACAGTACTTTATTGAGACCAAATTGACATACACCAAAATGCACAAGTCTTAGGTGTCCATTTTGACACATTTTGAGAGGAGTCTACACCCACGTAGCCATCACCCACATCAAGATACAGATAATTTCCACCGCCCTGAAACTCTCCTCGTGCCCTTTTCCAGTCAATCCTTTTACCCCAGAGGCATCCACTGTTCTCATTTCTATCACTGGTGATTAGTTTTGCCTGTTCTTGAACTTCATCTGTGTGGAGTCCTACAGTTGTACAGAGACCATCCCCAGAGCCTGACACAGGGTCTGGCAGGTGGCAGGAATGCAACGTGGAAGAGAGTCCTGGTTCTTAAACTACCCTACCAGAGAGCATTGCTCTCATTGGGAAACTGAGGCTGTGGGCTCTGCCCAGGGCACAAGGCCAGGGCAGCGGTGGACCCTAGATGCCAGTCTAGGCTCCCCATTCTGAATGCCCACCTCTCTCCTAAGGCTCCCATTAGGCACACACCCCCTCCCTCCCTTTAGCGCTCCGTGTGAGCGAGCCTGATGATACTGGGCAGGTGGTGTCCCTTGCCGCTTGCGGGGCCTGACCCAGGACCCACTTCCCTCTGTGGGAGGTGCTAGGATCACCCAAGCTCTGGAGCCCCATGCAGCGCCTGGCAAAGGGCAGGGGCTCCGTTCGCGGAAGGAAAGTCACTTGCCCTTTTATTTTCATCTGAAGATTTCCCCAAGTTTTGGGGGCTTTCCTTCCCCAGAATAAACCGACTAAGGGAAAGAGGCCTTTTTGGTGGAGCGCTGCTGCCCCCCGCTGGGCGGCGGGAGACACTACCACCGAGCGGGACGTGCAAACCCGGCGCGTTTTTCGCGTCTCGGGTTCTGGTCTCAGTTCTGCGGCTCCTTCTTTGCCTCTTGGTCTCCCGCGCCCTGGGCTACTGGTCTCCGAGAGGCAGATGTCTGTCAGGGCCATCATCCGGCACTTCAGCCTTGGTCTGGAGTAGGGGTCTTCCTCGGAGAACCAGCCAGCCCCAGCTGTGTGTGTGTGTGTGTGTGGCGGGGGGTGGGGGTGGACGGAAGCTTTGAGGGCCTGCCCGGTATTAAGTAAGTGTTTAATCAGGTGTGGTCAAGGTTTGCTCTTAGGGCTCCGTTCAGAGGAGGGGCAGAGGCGGGGCGGGGCGGCTTCCCTGCAGCGGGGCGTGCAGCCCCTCCCAGCTCCCGGTCTCTGCGTCGCACCTGCGGTCGGTGGCGGTGTAACGGCCCAGCCAGCCTGGCCCAGGCACGTGGCCTGGGGCGATGCTATCTCTAACTCGGTATTTTTAACTCCTCTTTGCAGAGGATGTGGCTTCTGCGGGAGAGCTTCAAAGGGTGCCCCCTTTGCCCCTCGGGGCCACCATGATGTCATGGAAATGGGGAGGGGAGGCCCTAAGCCCCCAAACACCTGGCGGGAAGTGGGAGACTTTTTCCACTTCCTGTCCTACTTCTGGCTACTGACTCAGTGTCTGACCTGTTTATTAATTTCAAAATACAGCTCTCCGGGTGATACTCAGAGGAAACCTTATGCATGTGTGTGTGTGTTTGGGTGAAATGAAGTCTGGAAACCAGGTGGCCTTCCACAAAGTCCTCCCGGGTCAGTGCGGGTCAGTGCGCTTAACAGAGTGACCACCCCCGGCCCCACCTGGCTGCTCCCCTGGTCCGCCCTCAGTCAGGAGCTCTCTGTCCCGCACACCACTCCAGGAAGTAGGCTGCAGAAGTGCTTTTAAGATAGGACACGTGGGGAATGTGATGTGACCTTTGGCCCCTGACCTTGGAATGGTTGTGCAATGACCCGACATCTGACTCCCTGGCGCCCCAGGTACCATCCTCCAGACTCTATTGGATGATTGCCCGCCCCGGGGGGCTTCACTGGCCAATGGGCCATCACTCAGGTTTTGCTTTCCCTCATAGTTCTTGACAGGTTACTCTTAGCTCTTGGCAAAACGGTGAAATGGTGGTTCAGCCAGCTGACTCCTCTATTCATCTCCATTTTCCTTTCTCTTATGCTCCCCCCACGGCCCCCACCAACTTGGCTTCCTTCCCAGTGCCTAATGGCGCTAAGTATTTATTTGTTCATTTGCTAGTTAAGTGTCTCTTAAGCATCAGTGGTGTGCCAGCCATGGGGCTAGGTGTTACAGACCCACGGATGAACAAGATACATTGCCCATCCTGGGGAGTGCAGAGTTGAGTGGACTTTCTTGCCAAGATATTACCTGATAACTAAGGTGGTATCTTGTTAAGGCTTTCCATGTGACCCACGGGAGTGGGATTTTAATGGGCAAACCAAGACGACAGATAATCCTTCACGACTCAGATGGCTGCCTCTCCAATGGTGGGTCATAGCGGGGGGGGGTGTCACTCGGTTGGAGCATTTCACCCCAGCCCACTTCAGGGTGTTCCTGAAGCACATACTTGCTTAGCCCCCTTCTCTTGAGGGGACAGTGATTCCAATTACACTGAGGGGGCAGGTCTCTGGGTGAAGTGTCAGAGAATTCTCTAGAATCTTAGAACTGGGGTCGTGAGAAGTCATTTGGTTCATTCTTTTGCCCCCAGGGCTGGCCTGTGCTTAATTAAGGGCAGGAGGGGCAGGAGGGTGTCGATCCAGACAAATCCATTCTACAGCTGGCCTTGGTGACACATTCCCTAGTGGGACAGAGGACTTGTCTCCTTGAGGCTGGTCTCTGTTCATGAGGCCTGGGCCTCTCCAGGGCTGGACCTTTGAATGGATGTGATGACTGTGTCTCCGGGTTTCCTCAGCAGCCTCTTCCTTCCGGGCTGAGCAGTGCTTGGTGCCTTACTGCCCTGAGGGGCTCTGCTGCTGTGACCCCAGGCCCAGGGCGGACCTCCAAGGGGGCACAGGAACTCTTTGTCTGGGCCTCCTCGTAAGGGTATTTTAATTCCCTCTGACACCCTAGGTCGGGGGGAGGGCAGAGGTGAGAACAGAGTGGATGGAGAGGAGTAGAGTCTCTGTATCACCCCCTCAGGACACCCACTTGCTCCCGGTCTGCCCTCTGACTCAGCTCTAACTGGCTTTAGGCTTAACCGCCTTAGCCTCGAGGGAAGGGTCTTGCTGGGATTGAGGAGCCCTGGTTTGAGATGGAAATGTCTCAGGGGGTGTGCTGACCCTGCTTTCCAGATGGCCTCCTAAGTGCCTGAGGCCTTGTCACCTTTGGCTTGGGCTGGGCCCGGAAGGGGGAACCCTTGCCCCCTTCGTGGGTCTGGGTAGATCCCCTGCCACTGCCCATCACCTCATAGGTCCTTGGGTGGCCTTTGGGGTCCATGACTTCAGGGCCCTGACCACTGAGGGCCGTGGGATGGCATGACTCCATAAGCTCCCCTGGCCTCCTCCCAGGTTCTTGGAGGGCTCTGTCTTTAGCCCCTTCACTGCCTCCCAGGGTCCTTGCTCCTGTCCCCTGCCCTCAGCCCCCATGTCCCCTTCAGCCTCAGCATCTTTGCCACGAACTCTCAGGAGTAGAGCTGCCTCCCCGCCACCCACACATCCCTTGCCTGGATCTTTTGTATACAGACCAAAGTGAATTACTACTTCAGGAGGAAAAAAAGATAAACTAATTTGCCTTAGGTTTTTGACGGTTGATAAAGGCTTGCTCTATTAACCCTCCCAGGGGCATTTTCATTTAATAGGGGGAGGAGAATGCTTTAATTAAAAGAAATTCCCAATGGCAGGATCTCTGGCATCGTGTCGGATTGATGAGGAGGCAGTTTTCGGTTTTCCGCAGGGGGCAGAACCTCAGCTTTGGGAAGGTGGTACCTGTCTTACTGTGTGTGAGAGGGACCTGCAATGATGGGGTGTCCTCTGTGGCAGTCCCCTTTAGTGATCTTTAAAGGGATGCGCATATAGGCTACAGATGAGGGGCCTCAGTGAGAACTGAGGATTCCGTGACCGCCCCCCCTCCACAGAGGCCGCAGAACCAGAGGTGCATGCAGCCTCCCAGTCTTAGATGACATTTTATAGGCGGTGACGCTGGAGCTCATGGAAGGGAGGGACATGCCTAAGACCCCTATTGAGCTGGTGGCTCTATCCCTGTGAAAAGATGCAGGCCTGAATTGTAGCTGGGAGGATTTGCAGATTTCTGGCTGATGCGGTCCGAGACAGACACACGCATGAACCATAGAGGTGTTTGGGGACAGGACCCTCCCTTCCCTCTGCAAATCGGTAAGCCCTGGGCTTGATGGCAGTAATTGTGAGGAGGGTGGCCTCCTCTCTGAGGGGTGTTCCCATCAGTGGCCATGACCCCAGGAAAGGCACTCAGGCTCAGAAGAACACCAGGGGCCCCAGGAGGCCCTACGTCCTTGTCTTCTAGGTGAGAGCTTAAGACATCCGCTCTCCTTAGCAGAGTCCCTGAGCTTGAGGGGAGAGGATTCATTTCTTACATCCAGGCTGGGGGATGGGGAGTAGAAAGTCTGGCTAATCTTCACCCCCTTCCCCTGCTTAGACTGGGCACCCCAAAGTTGGGGCACTGGGTTGGGACCCAGGCAGAGGAGTGGTGGGTGGTCCTCAGCCATGAATCTGTGGGGGCAGTGCACGGTTTCAGTGGGAATCCAGTCTGAGAGGAAAGGCAAAGGAAATCGTTCTGGAGGGCAGGAGACAGTGGGTGGCATTTTGGGGATACTTGCTGTGTGGTCCCTGTCTGCCAAATTTTCACTGCCAGTCCTGATCAGTCATGGGCATGGGCCTCCTGCTACGGGTGGCCCAGTGGTGTGGCAGGAAAACGGAAGAGCAGGGACCTTGCCTCTTAAGTGGGTTTGCCTGGCTCCCAGCACAGCCTTCTAAGTGGAATTTTTTTAAGAGGTCGTTCCAGGAAGAGGTTGACTTCAGCAGCTTATTGAGTTAGGCTCCCTGAGCGACATCAGGACAAAAGCCTTGGTTTCTTTCTGCCCAGCCAGGGATCAATAGCAAGCTGAATGTGACCCTGACCAAACCCAGTCAAACAGGAGCACCGTCCCGGCTCTTTCAAATTGCCTTTAATGAAGCCATGGGCAGCAGAATATACAACGTGGCTCAGACACACAGCACAGCAGGGCCTCCATAATACTTTCCCCCACATCTTGGGGAAAAAGGGTGATACATATTTCCTGATGAACACTATTTAAAAAATACAAACTCCTCACAATGTTCTCCAGGAGGCAGAGGCCAAGAGGACCCGCCGGGGATCCCTCACCCCGGGGACGGAAGAGTTGGTCTCAGGGTAGGGGCAGGGTGTCTCTCCGTAGCAGCCCCCTGCCTTCGCCGGAGTGTCCGGCCCGTGACAAGCAGCAGGGAGGGAACCGAGGGGGCGGAGGCAGTGTTCGGCAGCTCTTCAGCATCTTGATCATGACTATCTGGTGGGATCCAGTTGATGGCTGTTGCCAGTGGGGCCAGAGAAGCGGAGGGAGCCTTCTTGTCCACGGGGGCAGAGAGTCTGCCTCTCTGGGGAGGCAGGTAGGGTGGGGAGTCGGGAGCGAGGGGGTGCCGGGCTCTCTCACGGTCTTGGTGACCTGGGATGAGGGAGAACAGTGGTTAGGCTGGATACCGAGGAGGCAGTCAGGACAGTTAGGGACGTGGATGGAGATGCCTCTATTTGTAGAGATCTAGGAGCAAAGGGACACTGGAGTTCTTGTGGATGGTGGTGGGGCAGGATGCACCTGTCGGTAGGATGACCAGGGACACGGGCAGAGAAGGGTATGGAGATGCCAGCTGGGATTAGGGCACAATAGGAGCATAATATCTTCGCGTCATACTGGGGGCAGAGGACGTGAGGAAAGGAAGTAGGGGTCCCTCTAGGTTTTGCAGTGAACAGGGTACAACAGAAGGCATGGGCCTAAGTGAGTCTGGGTCCTGAGTTTCTCTTATGTTTCCATTCCTGTGTGGGTGGCCCTTGCTGTGACTTGGCCTCAGCGTCTTTCTTTCCAAAACGAGGAGGGTAACAGCTGTTCCTCCTAATTCGTAGGGGGAACATGGCTCAACTGAGGTGCCTCTTGTCCCCTGAGGAGTCCTGCCAATGTTCTAGGCCACTGTTATTAACAATACAAACCCCTAGCCAGAAAAAGTGGAGGAGTTTGGTGGGCCCCGCTTTAGGACCTAAAAGCAAGAGCTTGAGGACCCACCTTGAGACCCTTGCAGCCCGCACTCCCACCTGAGCCGCCTGCTCACCTCAGCGGGACCACAGCCGCAGCGTCATCAACAGGTTAAACCCGGCCACTTTCAGGAGGAGGATGCGCAGCCCGATCACTATCAGGTTGTGGAAGTTTAGGTTCATATCTGCAAAACCAAGAGGTTATCGCATGTACCCCGGAGGTCTGCACAGCCCATGTGACCCACCCATGGTTTTCCCCAAAAGGTGGCTGGGGGCTGGGCTTTAGCTCCTGGCCCACCTCTCCCTTTGAGCTGGGGTGCATATCACTTCCTAAGCAGATTTGTATATTCCTCCAGGGTCAACAGTATTCCATTTCAAAGGAAAACACCAGCGGCACTCAGTCCTTATTTTAGGCTGCATCCCTCAGGAGTGGGGATGGGGCAGGGCTCAGAACTCATTGTAATCCCTTGGGTCTGGGTCTCTGAGTGAGAAGCTGGTGGCTGGACCCCAAGAGGGACAATTCAGTGAAAACAGCTCAGATGGAAATGGACGGGGGCCCAGGGCTGGGGGCCGGGAGTGGTGGGGATCCTGAGAGACAAGACCCCCGCCTACATGGACTCTGCTGCTTTTCTTGAAAGAAGGCAGGACCCCAGCTACTGCTACAGAGGGAACATGCCCTTGGGAGGAGCTGGTGAGTTCAGGGCTCTGCATAAGCCAGTCGGAAATATCACAGCTGGGTTACAGAGAAACTCTGGTTCTCCAGAGCCCTAGGAGTGAGTCATGGGGTCTAGGGAAACTAGAGACTCATCCTGAAAGTCCTTAGAGGGAGAAAGAACATTAGAGATGTTGAGAGGAACCTGGTTGATTCAAGAACGTTCCCGTTCTTCCTAACTTCATTCCAGATCCACATATCCCTTCCCCCCTCTCCTATCTAGACAGGGTGATTGTGGGTACATCTCGAAGCTGGGATAGATCCCTCTCTTACCGGTTTCAAAGTTTTTCTCTATCAAAGTGGCATCACAGGAAAAGTCTAAAAGGAGAAACAAAGACATTTTCATAGTGTTGAGTGTGTTGACTCTCCCACGTCAGACCTCCTAGGATTTGGGCAGATGAGCCTCTGTCTACAGGCTTTCCGTGCTCTCTCCTTGAGAGGTCTGGAGGGGACTTGTCACCTGTGGACCCCTGCTGGGAAAGCCACTGGCCCTGGCTTCCAGGGACCACTCCATTCACTTCATGAACACTGGCTGTGCAAAGTACCTGTCACCCAACACATGGCCACAAGGAACCATCAGACACACAGCCTGCCCTTTGGTAGGTTCCAGTCTGGAGTCTGAAAGAGGCAGTAAGCCACCACACAGTGACAAGTGCCATGAGGGGTGTGGATGCTTTCCTGTGTCCCACAGAGTCTCCATCCCTGCACTCCAAATTTGTTCCTTTGTTGTCATCAGCCCAGTCAATGGCGCTGTCATTGACTCAGCGGCGGGGGCAGAAAGCCCAGCCGCCTTCCTTGATCTCCTCTTTCCTTCGCACCCCCTGCACGGTTCTCCCTTTGAATCTGAAATCGTGCTGGCCACTCAACTGCCCTGCTCCCCGCTGTGCGGGCCGCCATCATCTGTCTGCCACAACGGTTGGCCTTTCTGCTTGGCCCCTACAATCCATTTTCCACTCAGCAGTCGGAGTGCTCTTTGAAAAAGGTAAAGTGGATGTCATTCTCCTACTTAAAAACCAATCAATAGCTTCTCATTGGACTTAGGAGAGTGGCTGCCCTGTCACACCCTAGGAGGCCCTGTGATGTGGCCCTTCCCACTTCGTCCATCTCCTGTCCCGCTACTCTTGCCCTTCTCGCCGTGCCCCTGTGTCAGGCCTCCACAGGCTCCCCCCCTACCCTCGGCCTGGCTGCTCCCTGCTCATCCTTTAACTCTCATCTCACCTAGCATTTCCCCAGAGAGCCCTTCCTGGACTCTCTGTTCCTAAGTTGGCTGTTTCCTCCACCCCCAAGTGAAAGCCCATGTTACAGTCTGACGTTCTCTAGATTTCTGCTTGCTGATGGACGGCCTCCCCTAGCTACAGTGGAGCTTGCTCAGGGCAGACCCCTCATCTGACTTATTTACTCCTCCACTCCAGCACCTGGCACGTGGTATATGCACAATCAGTGTTTGCTGAATGAATGAGCGACTACGTAAGGTTGGATCTTTGGCAGAGAGGCAGAACCAAGGGGAGGTATCTCGGAGAAAGGCATTAGATGGGGGCCTGGCGGAGAAGTGAGGGGCAAACAGCTTGAGCAGAGGCAGGGATGCGGAACTCAGGGCGGGTGAGAAGCCAGTGCCCTTCCTGCCACCTTCTCCCCCTCTGCTCTTTGCCTAAGACATTCTGCGACCCGCCAGGATGGAGAGCACTGGTGCTCAGTAACGAGAGCAGAGGGACTTTGCTGACAGTGGATGAGGCCGAGACCACCCATCAGAACAGCTTTTAGATGCCATCCACCTGAGCTCCAGGGGGAACCGGGTGTTTCCGAGTGGGGAGACTTGGCTTGCACAGGCACCGAGGCTGCACTCACCGGAGCTGGAGAAGAATTTCTCATTGAAGGTACCATTGCATTTAAAATCGGTGCTGTTGCCCCAGGCCAGGGCCGCGTTGCTCTTGGAATTCATCACCTTCATGTCCAGCACCGTACTGTTCAAGCTGATCACCGCAGGCCCCTGCGGTTCTTGCACACTGGTTTCAGAATCAAAGTCGGTGAACAGGCAGACTGAGATCTGATTGGACTTAGAGCCTCCCAGCTGGTACACAGCGGGGTCAGGCTCCTTGACATCTGTGGGCCAAAAGAACCCAGGTTAGGAGATGCTCATTTCCCTCCTTGCCCCAACCCAGGCCTGAGTCCAGACGCCAGTGATGGGCAAGAGCAGGGCTCTGTGGGGCTGGCAAGTCACATTCGCAGGCTTTAGGTGGGAAAGAACATTCTGGAAACCAGTTGCTCTAAGTGGACTGGGAGTCAGGGCCAGGCATAAGCCACGAGTCCTGGCCAAGAGGCCAGGCTCTCAGGGAAGGCTCTCTGCCTAGCCCTGCCTGCCATTCAAGGAAACCAGAAATGCAGGGCTACATAATGATACTGTTCATTCTTTTACTTAATAGGAACTTCTTCAAAAGCACAGCGAGACGAGTAAGCAACAACATTGCTCTGGCAGGACAAAGCAAGCCTAGAATAGAGGCCCAGCAAAGCAAACCAGATGTCTTGGAATCAGGGGTGGCCTCCCCCAAATTAGGGTGGGTATGGACAGGAATTGGAGGTTTATTATTGGCTGGTATTAAGACGGAAGATTGGTCACATCACCAGGAGATTTCTCACTGATAAAAGTTTTAGACAATAAATCAGAACACCCGCATCCCAGTCCTGGCTTTACCATTCACTAGATACAAGGCCTTGAACAAGTCACATCAGCTCCCTAAGGGTCAGGAATTTCATCTGTAAAATGGAGATATTGCCTCCTCCACCTTCCTAACCAAGCTATTCTGAAAAATCAAAGGAGGAGTTTCTCTCTATAAAATTATGTTTAACAGTACTGAACAAATGAAAGTAATTGCAGCTCTTGATAATACCAGGATATTGCCATGATAATGTGCTACTGAGTTATATACAGTCCGTTTCTACTCTTCACCCCCAGGAAGCAGGGGCTGCTGGAGGCTTTTCCTTAGTGCTGAGAATCATTCTTCAGTATTTCTGTAGGATTTTGTGTTTTTAATGTAACTCTCATTGTTTATTCTTTCAGACCTCCTGCCTTTAGAAGAGGAAACAGAGGTTTGCTGGGAGGGTTAACACATTGGGGCCACCCAGAGAGTTTACAGCAGGGTTGGGACTAGAGTTTCCTGCCCCTGTGGTTCTCTGCTCCCACAGCTCCCCACCCTGCAGGCAAGGTTTCTCAGACCAGGGGTGTACCCCACTTGTGAGGCCAGCCAGGGTGGCCTTGGCAATGCAGACTTCCAGCTGGACCTGAAACCAGGGACATCAGCCTTTGGCATGGCCTTGGGTTGCTGAGTCAAGGCATCCCAAGGGTGTCAAGTCAAGGGTGTGGGGCTGTCCCTGGAGCACAACCTGGGTGGGTCCATGGTCCCATGTGAGGGACATCCAAAGCTCTGGCCACGAGGGATTCTGCCTGTTCCTTTCCAATGTCCCCCTATCTGGGGCTGGGGGTGGGGGTCTGATATCACTGTGGGTTAAGGCCCTAGGGCATAAATCTTTTACAGGGAAAGGAGAGACGGGAAGCCATTATGTGCCACCAGCATACCCCAATGGATTTGTTAGTCCTCAGTGGGAGTCACGGGTGGACTGGGAAGGGGGTTGTGGAAGGGTATGAAAGTGGTGAGGGAATGTGGCCTTGAGGAGAAGGCAGAGGATAAGGTGCCACCAGTGCAGTTTGGGCTTAGAGGGGAAAAGGGGTTGTGGTGGGGGCCTGATGTCCAACTCTGAGTCCTGGTTAAACACTCACTCAAGTCCTAGAGCCAATAGTGTCAGGCTGAAGAAGGTCTAGACCATGCTGTCCAATATGATAGTCTTTAGCTACCTGTGGCTATTTAAATGAAAACTAACCAAAATGAAATCAAATTAAAATTCAATTAAAAATTAAAACTTCATTTTAAGAGCATCATAGCCGCCATATTGGGCAGTGCAGGTTGAGAGAACACTTTCATTGTCCCAGAAAGTTCTATTGGATAGCATTGGTCTGGAGAGAGCTATGCCACAGAACATGAGATTTTTGAGGAAAGGGCTGATTGTGGGCCTTAAAAACCATCTTTAAGTCTGTGAGGTGGGGGGTGACTCCATCAGGGAAAGGCCAATTTTTGCTCAACTTCACTAGTGAGAGATCTACATGAAATAACAACCAACGAAGTCAGAAGACTCGAGGTGATTTTTGCTGCTCTCAAGTCTTGTTTTTACCAAGACTTCATGCATTTTGAGCTTCCCTATCTGCATTTTTGCTGTTGTTTCTCCTGTCCAGCTTCCTTACCTCTGATTTCCTCTCTTGCTTCCCTCCCCGCCCCTGCTGTCCCCCCATTCTCTTTTTCGAGCTCATCCTCCAAAGTACTTGTCTAAAACCTAGAGCTGATTGTACCACTTTTTGTTCAGAATAATTCAGGGACTCCCTAGTGCCCATAGAATAATGCCCAAATTTCCTGGCATGAAATTCAGGGACTGCCATGATCTGGAGAGCTTGAATTTTTTCTCTCAAGTCCTTTATGTGCCCTAGATGAATAGAGCTTCACCTGCTTGCCAACATGAAGAGTTTTCAGGTGAAGGTCTCCTCATCTAGGGCACATAAAGGACTTGAGAGAAAAAATTAAGCTCACCTAGTGTCTGCTGTATAGCAGGTGCTCAAGAAACAATTGTTGGATCAATAAATGGCCTAGTAACCATCAGATTTGCAAAATTCTTGCTTATCAGAACTTTTTGGTAAAAAAGGCTGGGTACTGATCCTTAAACTTGATTTTTTTTAACCCTTTTTACTTCTGCTCCCATGTACCTCTAGCACAACCATCTCTTTGTCTGAAGACAAGAAATGAGTCACTTAATTTGGAGGTCTTTAGGGATCCATCAGTCAGAGCCCTGGGAGGAGAGGCATCCTGTCCCATCTTAGCAACACACATCCTACCACTGATGACATCTCAGAAGTTGGCCTTAGCAAGACTGGGTCAAGTTTTCAATGCAGAAGTTCAGCTATGCTAGATCCTAACCTTTCATTGTAATTCAAAACTGACCACAGAAGCACATGTCCAAATGTTCTAGTGCTTTGGATGCATAGGGGCACAACAGTGATTGAAAGCTTCCTTCCCACAAAATCTGTGCTTTGTAGTTAGGTACTAGGAACCCAGAATTGTTCCTAGTTAGCAACACTGACTCTGGGTCACTGACAGAGCCTGTGGTGAGCATCAGAAAGCAGTGAGCCTGGGCGGACTTACCAGGAGTTATGGAAACTCTGGTTCCTTTGCCAAATTGCACCTGAGAGGCAACACCTTCATACCACCCCTAAAGTCTTCATTACAGAAACCCTTAGGTTTCTCCTCCTCTGAGGGATGGGGTAACCTACCTTGTAGAGCCCACTGAAGAAGGAGAAGGGAGGTCCCTAGGACATGAGGTGTCCACAGAAGGAGCTGGTTCCCTCTCACATTCACATCTGGTCTACATTTCTAAATTGGATCCCCAGTTTCCTAGTGGCTGGCTTTGGCCCTAATTATCTGTATTCTATTAAAGGCTTTAGGATTCCTTTTCTCTATTGTCTAAAAAGACATTTTATTTGCTTTTCCCTGCATCCAATTTATTATCAGATGTGTTTACTTAGGCCAAAATGCACATGCCTTGTTCACGTCCAAGATCATGCCCTCTTTCTTGTTGTTCCTTATGCCTGAAAGTCCCCTTCTCTCCAGTCTTTGCCTGTACAGCTCTTACTCATCCTTCAGGCCCAACGAATCCTTCTATTGCATAAAACCTTATCTGTCTAGGCCAACTTCCAGCTGTAAACCTATTCCTCTGAATCTCTATTGTGCCTATTGATGTCATCAATTTGTTAATACTAAAATAGTTTTCAGCTTGCTAAATTTATAATAGTTATGTCCCTTTAGCTAGTTTTTATCCAATTTAGGAATAGGTCAGTCATCTATCTTAGACTTCTTTGCAGTCAGTCTCTTTTAGAGTGATGGCCACATAGAAGGCATTAGAAAATACCCATTGAGCGATTAAAGTCAAATTTTAATGTGTTTGACCTAGAGAAACACAGATTTTCAAAATTGATAGCGATGCGTTTTCTTTCCCAGAGGCCTCTGTAAGACAATTCATTTTAACACCCACAGTTAGCCTCACCATAGTAAGACTGATATCCCCAAGGAGAGGAATAGAGACACTCACTGGCCCATGGGATTGCAAATGGTGCCACCTGGGATGACTCACCAGCTATTATAGACACTTGGGTTCCTTTTCCAAATATGAGTTTGCCCACAATTCCTCTGGTATTCACACTGCAGGTGACACCATTACAAGAAACTCACTAAATCTACCTCCTGCTTCAATAGAAGTATTGATCTCCTCCAGGGGACAAGAAAATCACACTTTCTAGAGTTAGACCTTCTGCTCTTTTGTGTTGAAAATTTGGTTGTTCATCCCTTTTCCTTTTGCCCTATCCTGCTGTAGTATCCTGAGTTAAAGGTTGTGATTTCAATAAACCAAAAATTCAGTAGCACACAACTCTGTTCAGGGCAGCAGTATCTTGGATCTTCTCATGGAGGGTCCGGGACTACAGGCTTATCACTTGTCTCATGATTCCTAAAGTCTCAGTCTAAAGATGTTTCCCAAGCATTGAGTGCTGGATGGGAGAATTTTCTGGGGATGGGTGGAAAGAACCATTTGGGATCTTACAGAAGAAAATACCTGGGCTCGGGCGCCTGGGTGGCTCAGTTGGTTAAGCGACTGCCTTCGGCTCAGGTCATGATCCTGGAGTCCCGGGATCGAGTCCCACATCGGGCTTCCTGCTCAGCAGGGAGTCTGCTTCTCCCTCTGACCCTCTTCCCTCTCGTGCTTTCTATCTCTCATTCTCTCTCTCTCTCAAATAAATAAAATCTTAAAAAAAAAAAAAAGAAAATACCTGGGCTCAACTTAGCATCCTGGACGAAGAAGAATCAATTGTCAATGTTGACCCTTGCCCCACTTTACTTACTTGGCTGGACACTCAGTATGGTCCCTGCTCCGAAGATTAGCACGGTACTCTGCTGTATCCCCACTGTAGCTAAGGCCTTTGTAATATCCTTCCTGACATTAATCTACTAGAA